CAGAAAGTGGGCTGCTGTACACTGGTGCCACTAGTCCAAGCACCATCAGTAGACAATGCAGGTGAAGTGTCTTGCCAAAGGGCACAATGACACTGAAAGCTGAAGCCTCTGGTTGCAGGGCACACTCCTGTATCTGACGCAACTAAACAAATAAAATATAATAAATAAAAATGCGTCCATTTACGGCCTCAGACTATGCTGTAAACTAGGTCATTTTAAGCAAATAATGTGTGTTTATATATATATATATATATATATTAGGGCTGTCAAAATTAACGCGCTAACGTGAGATGATTAATTTCTGGAATTAACGCAATATTTTTTTAACTCATTAACACAGTCCCGCAATTCCCACAATTCAATTGTCCGACATGAGCGAGATAGAGGAATCAGAAGAACCCGTTGGCCCGCTGGATGGACAGTTTGAATATAAAAAAAACAAAGACGGGACAATAAATAAACTTGTTCTGGTTTATTCAGACTGCAAGAAGGACTTTTCGTTTCACCGAAGCACTTCGAGCCTTAGATATCATCTTAATGCCAAGCATTCATTTGTTGGGGCTTAAACTTCAGGTGTTACAACTGGCATGCGTCAGACCACCCTCACCGAACGCAGGGCATTAAGTAACGGCCCGCTTTACATTCAGAAAATGTTAAGCAGTTAGTTTGCCTTAAAAACTGGCTAAAAGATAAACAAATAAAAGGCAAAATGACCTCATGTAATTGTTTAAAAGTCAAGTTGTTTGTTTTAAATGAAAAACGTTCCATTAAATCATCCTTTAGTTGCTAAAAAAAAAAAAAAAAAGCAATGGCTAAGTTGCCAAAATTGTTGAGAATTAAATTCTTTTTTTGGATTTGTCATTAATAAAAACCAAATGTAATACCATCTTGTTTATCCTTCTGTTTTGAAAAGAGTACACAGAAAATTTGTATTTTTCAATAATATTCAGGCTAGTGATTAATCGAAATTAATTCATGAAACCTTGTGATTAATTAGATTAAAAATGTTAATCGTTTGACAGCCCTAATATATATGTATATATGTATATATTCATATATATATAAAGAAAATGGCCTTTTACAGTCAAATGCCAGCTGAATGACAGCCCACTTCCTTGCAGCTCTCAGCAAAATCCCCTCCAACTTCCAGCCACTGGCCTTTTCCTGGGAGTGCATATTTTCCTCGCTTTCATTGAATTACAGGGTTGACCAGGAGATGACACTTCTCTTTAGATCTTAAAGGCATATTATGCAACATTTTTCAGTTAATTAATGTGTTCCATAACGTTTTGGATGATTAAATGAGTCATTTCAGGTTGAACAAAGGTATTCTCGGCTGCCCTGGTGGTCGGTGGGGGAAATACCGCACTTGCAATTGCAGGAGCCCTCGGCCCGCACCCACAGGCTCAGAAGTCTCGCGAGAGTCGGTCTTGCTTTACGGCGAGAACTGCTACACGCCCCCAGTTAAAAGCATGCTCGTTGCTAGCACAGTGGCGATATTTTTGCTGTTATCATGGCGGAACCAGCGAGATAACAGCGAAAGCCCGTGTCGGAAACATGCTAAATATTCAAACTCGAAAACTGGAACTAAATAGTCACTCACCGCAGTAGACATGGTGATTGGTTGCGTTCGCCTGTCTGCTAAGCTCAAAACAACTGTCTGGCTTGATGGAGAAACCAGGAGAACAGCTGAGCATATTTACGACAGTGCACTTTTACTTTCGCCCTCTGGGGGGAGCCTCGCTGGAAAATCAACACCGGTTGCATAGTATACCTTTAATGTCCACAAGTCATGACAGAAAGAGTATTTTAGTACAAATATTGTTTTAAACGGGAATTGTATGGGACCAGCCAAGGACGCATCAAGTAAAGCAGGTACATTTTGAATGGCTACTCCTCTAATGGGGAGCAGTGGGCTGCCATTTTGCAGCACCCAGGGAGAAGTGTTGGGTTAAGGGTCTTGCTCAGGGACCCGGAGTGTTAATCCGTGGGAGGGAGCTTGACCTCAGAACCTCTGGATTCCAAGCACATTGCCCTAACCACTAGGCCGCCACTCCCCTAAAGTATCTAGATTATCTAACAAATCTTAAAATTTGCTAAATAAGTTAATGGTAATTATTGTGTATGTAATGTAAATAAATCTTAACATTTGAATTATTATTCTGTAAGTGCAAGGGAAGGACAATTCTGCATCTTTTTTCATTTAGATGTTTATTGTCATCGCCAGGTAAAAAATTTGATCAAATACATTTTTACATCGTAGCAAATGAGACAATACGAGGAGATAAACAGTACATCTGGTCATTGGATTGGAAATCCAGTCATTATCAAAATAGAAATAAAAAATACATTTATATAAATTAACAATAAAAGACAAGTTATGATTGACTTTCATTGCTCGGTCAAGGTAATAATTTATACATCATAACAATATGTTTCTCTGCATGCTTAAAAGCAGTTTGTGCTGGAAAATGTCACAGTAGCAAACTCAAGGCTGTAGAACCCATTTGTTCATATGATGTTCCTGTGGGGGGGGGGCAGAGACTTGCCGTCTCTGACCTTTCCTTACCCTTTGCCTCCTCCCAGCATGCAGCTAGTATGTGAGGTGTTGAGCGGTCCAGAGGTGCTGAGCTGCAAACTAAAACACAAGGTGTGGATCCAATTCTTCTCCGCAGCTACCCGGCCCTGGATCAGGCGGATGAAAAACACATGCGGGGAGGAGGAGGCCAACGTCCCGAGTGCATAAACAAACACAGCCTGAGGTTTGGCAAGTGTGACTTATTCCAAACTACTAACAGAAATGACCAAAGTTCATTTCTGTTACTTTTCTCTGTTTTGTTTAAACGCCCCTTTAAACCATGAACTTCATGTTAAACACTGAACAGACATACAACAAGTAAACGTGGAGATTTGCTGTTTCACCAAAGTCCTTGACCATGACAACAGTCAGAGTTTTGTAAATAAAAACTATACAATTAACATCCATTTCCAGGCACATAATTAGCACCTTAAATTAAATTCAGCTCAGAGGTGCAACTGCAGTTTCTCCAGAGGTTATGACTTCTCCCTCCTGACTATGAGCTTTGCAGAGCTCACCACATACAGTTAAACATATGCTACAAAAGGAAAAAAAATTACTTTTTTTGCTCAAAAAGAGATTTTTTCCATTGGATTACAGAGAGGATTTTAATGCAACACATTCAGCAGAGACGGTTTGTTCAAGAACAAAATAAGACACATAGAGGCAGTCATAACAAATGCTTTCAACACTTGCTTGGCTGACAAAGAAATAATACTGTAATGAAGTGCAGGGGTGGAAAAAAGAGGCATTGGAGGAGAACGTTAGATTTTTAAGCCTATCCCCAGGCTTCTTGTAAACAGCAATTTGAAAGTAATGCCGAACATCTGGGGAGGCTGTGGATCAAAAGGCAGAGAGGGAGCAAAGGTTGGCTTTTCTTTCAGTTTGTTTCTTTATACCAGACAATATTATTCTGTGCAGACATGTTAAAGGCTAACATCATTTGCATTGCAGACTTGTAATGTAAAGTGAAAACATCCCTTTTAGAGTCAAAGCAGTAATTTACCGAAGTAGTGGCCCTGCATGTATCCGCCGGGCCGTGTGGGTGATAGTGGCTTTAGGTTCAGCTGACCAGCTGTGCACATTTCAGGAGCTACGCGGCTTGATAAGAGCAGAATCCTTCAGCGGCTGATGGAACAAGGTCAGGATGCGATGATGAGGTGGAGAAAACTTTTAGCTTATCTCTGTATTCAGAAGTCGCTGATCGCGTGCCAGTAGCCACAGTCTGACGGTGATAAAAGGGGGTTCTGTTTACAGCCAGAATGGAAACTCCAGTCAAAATAAGAACATGAGGCACTTCCACTAAGGATCCGTTCAGAGGCATGCTGTTTGAGTTTAGCAGTGTCAGTGAGCTCACTCCGTCCCAAAGGTACATAATGTTACAAGGAGCAAATCCTGAATTGTACTAAGAGCCCTCACCCGACAAAACATTCCAGCACTAATCTCTGTAATCATATGTTCCATTGCTCACAGTCGCAGAACAGAGCTGCTGAAAAAGAAAAAGGCACTTTGGAAAATACTATTTCTTTACTAAAAAAAGAGATTTATAAAAATAAGTTAACATTAATAAAGTTTTGTTTTTATGAAAAGGAATTTCATAAAAGTCCAAAATATGTTTCTTTTTCTCCACCAGCTCAGTCTCTTTCAACACCGGTTGTTTGATGCCAGGAAGGCTTTCTGGTCTCTGTTCAGTTTACTGAGAGAGGAATGTTTACTGCTTTGCATAGATTAGTAGCGTCACAGCTAAAACTGCGTCACAAATGGCACTTTAACCGTCTTCACCTCAGCGATATGAGAGGACTTCTGGATGATGCAGCTGGTTGTTCCCGAGACGCCGTCCTTCCCCTGGGCCAAGTTGGTCAAGGCCATGACTGCGTTGATCTCCTTCCACTGCGTCACATCTTTGGCCTTCGCCTTCTCCTCCTGCGTAGCTGCGACGCCACCGTTGCTGCTGACGACCGGCAGAACAAGTCAACAGGCAGAGAAAGAAGAGAAACAAAAAGCGTTACAGCTCATGTTTAGACATAGTTTATCTACTGATAGAAGGTCTACTCACTGGTCACGTTTCCTGGATCCAAGCTCTGTGGTTTCTGAAAGAAGAGACAGAAGAAGGTCAGTAGGCAGAGTTCCCCGGGTTAGAGGAGATCCGCTGCAACCTTTCAGAAACTGCTTGTTTAACAGATGCTGTGTGTCTGCTTTGGTGGTTTTGGACGTCTGTTCTGTCCTCTCAGTGGACAACGTGTCTTCAGCAAACATGAGCTGCTCTGTTTTTTCTCTTTACTCAACAGGCTGAACACAAAAAGGACATTTACCAAGAAGCCTTCAAATATAAAGGATACTTAGAGGATAGAGCTGTGTAATATTTAATAGCAAAAGAAATGTATATCAGCCAGCATGAATGAAAGAGATCAGAGAGAAAATGAAAAGCAAGTGAATGAGTTAGCAAAAGAGAGATTGACATTTTCTGGCTTCTTCACCCACCTACCCTGAAATAAGACCGATCTCTATCTTATCTATGAAGCATTAGTATAGCAAAGCAAAGTCATCAAACAATGAAGGCTGAGTGGTTTTGGAGGAAGCCAGAGTCTTTCCTTCAGCATGTTATTCACACTCTTCAGTCACATCTGTTCAACACTGAAATTTATCACACAAGCTTGAAGTTACATGAGGCATTAAAAGAGAGCAGAGCATTTGGATCTTCTAGCTGTTCCAGATCAGACGTTCCCTTTAAGTTCACTAAACATTTAGCTATGGCCTTGGGAGCTTTGAAGAATTCTGCAGGAGTTAAAGATGCTAAAAGCGGAGAAATATCTAAAAGTTTCTGACCTGTAGGTGGTCATCTTTAACACAGTCTTCTGCAGCCACACACTTAAAGGAATAGTACACCCAAAACATGATTAGCCTTCATTTTCTACTCACCCCCATGCTGAACAACCTGACAACAGCCAGATGCATGTCTCGCTCCGTCCAGCTCCACTCACATACATCTGGGAACCCGCTCATTGAAAGTGATTTCCCCAACCGAATTTATGGTCTGTCCAATCAGGACGCAGG